ACTGTCAGTACAACACATCTGAAAACTCCATGAGTTAATGTGTCCTTGGATGGCATAAGCTGCTTTGATTTAGACTGCAATTGCTGCTTTTCTCTCTGGGATTACTGAGGAATTTCAGTTGCTGCAGAGATTGTTCTCTTTTGCTCAGTAATTTACTTGCATTTCAGGTTGCACACAGGCTTACAGGTTCTGAAATGAAAATGTCTTTAGAAGTCAAGAACAATAAATATTTTTAGCTAGTCATGTTAAATTTTAATTGATCGCCTCTGCCACCTTTTCCAGCATCAAAGGTGTGCAACACACCCTTGCAAACGTCAGTCAGTGAATATAAGCCTTAAATACATGGCAAATGATTAAGCTTCCTCATGCCTCACATTGAAGACAGGCTTTTGTTATGGCTCTTAATGTTTTGGTAGCAAATTTGGTATACAGACAAATTTTCCACCACAATTTTTCATCTCTGGTTTCCATTCTTATCAATATTGACACCTTTAACTTTCTTTTTAACTTACTTCAATGTCCTGGCTTGAATTGTCATGCCAGGACTGCAGTAAATCAGTGAAAGATCGGGAAATAGCACCTGGCCAGATCATGGCACAACTGAGTTTTAAAATGACAATTTCACAGTGCATCATTATAAATTGGTGTTCTGTTTAGCGGGGAAAGCTCAGGGAAGGGCAAACCATGGGCAGGTGTCTATTGCCACACCACACACACCCTCTGGAAGTTCACAGGTGTCACCCCAGAGCCCCCTGAACACAATTTACCTGTTGGCTGGCCCTGCTGCTGGCAGGGTGGGATAACAAAAGCACTGCTGGCCCTCGCATCATTTCCCCAGCGTGAGCTTTGCCTCCTGGGCAGTGAAAGCTCACCAAATTTAGGAGGAGCTGGAGGCAGGAGCTGGCAGTGGAGCTGCCAGGTGGGATTCCCTTCCTTGTGACAGGCTCTGGGTCCCTCAGTGCTTCAGTGTTTGGGGCATCACCTCTCATTGACCTCAGTGGCCTGAAAAAGCAGTATTTCTCTCACACAGCATGTATCATTTGGGATAATTTTTTTCTTTTTTTCTTTTTTCTTTTTTTTTTTTTCTTTTTTTCTTTCCTTTCTTGGCATTTTGATTTTTTTTCCCTTGCGTCGTTGTTTTGTTTGTGTGTTTTTTGTTTGCTTGCTGTGTTGTTGTGCACTTTTGTTTTGTGAGAGTTTGCCTGTTTGATTTTTTTTGTGATCACAACAATGATTTTTCTTCCCCTCGGAAGGGGAAGTGTTGGAGCTGCCGAGGTGTTGCTGCCTTGCTTTGAGCACTTGGGCAGTTTTGTAAGGGCAGAGCTGTGCTGGGCAGCCCAGCTCGGGTGCAGGATTTCTGCACCCAGAGTCTGAGCCCAGCTCCAGCCTTGTCTGTGCAGCAGGCACCATCAGCTCCTCATTCCTCCTTCTGGAGGAACTCTGTTAGCCCCAGGTAGGAGCCAAGGAGTGGCACACAGCAGTGCTCCTGATGTCCCTTAACTCTTCCCTCGGCTGTGAGTCACGCCTTCATACTGATTTATTAAAAATATGGATATTGATCTAGCACCGATATCCAGCCGTGATGGACAAAAGCTCTTTAACAGTTTAAAGTTAGAAAGTGTGTGTTTATTGCATGCATGATAGCTCCAAAATCCACACTGCGACTTCCGAGTGATTACAGAGCCCTTTTAGCCATACAAGTATTGAATACCCAAAATACAAATGCATATTCATAACTTTGGTACATCCCATTCCTCATTTCAAAAGCCATTCAGCATGTGTGGTTTGTCCCTTGAAATGGGTCGGTGTCCCTTTCATGGAGAGGGGTCCCAAAATGAGGAAATAAATGAATTCTTCCTCGTTCTGACCTTTCTACCTTTTCAATGCAAATATGACAAATGAACTCTTGGTAGAACTCCCATTCCTTGTCTTCAGTTGGTTTCAGAACAGAGGAGGCCACAATTGTCTTATGTTCCTGAAAGCTCTTTGTCAGTTTGTGTATTCTTCATTATAAACCAGCTAACTAAACATTGTGCTGACAAGCAATCAATTATCAGTTAACGACTAACTCCTAACTTCATCAAGGCCTACTCATTTATTTTAATTAACTCTAGTAAGGCTTATCTCTAACTAAAATCTTAGCTCTTCTAAAGTCTCTAAATTTATTAAAATTTACATTTCATGTGCCAGGTACCTGAAGCTTTCCCTCCTCTTTTTTTCCCCCCCAGCTTTACCTTCAAAAACTCTGCCAAAGGTGTTTTTGTGCAAATGAAGCCTTGCTGTGTCACTTGTGTGCACCTGAATGCTGAAAAGACACCTTGAAATGAAATGACTTAATTTGTTTTCTGTCAAAACACAGATTGTTCCTATTACCTTCTATGGTTCCAGTGGTTTTCATAATAAAGATAAACAACAAAATTGTCTAGCTGAATTTGAAACACAAGTGTGTTCCTGATATCCAACAGACAGGATAATGATGGTGATGAGGGTAGTTGTTGTAAATATGTGCTACAGTGCTTAAATATTTACTGTTTTCCCTTCAGGAAAAGGATGGTGTGTATGCAGAAGGGTGTTTTTTACCTGTACTGTGCTGCAGTGCTGTGCAAGCTGAACTGTTTGGCATTGAATGGCAGTGCTAAAATTATATTGTCTCTGTGTAATTATATATACAGACCCACTCACATACAGCACTTACTGGAGAATGTAATAGTGCATCACAAATACCATCTTATTTTCTTGTAGTAAATTGCATTTTTAAATGAGCAACATTTATCTTGAAAAGAGGATTTAAAGATGACTTTGAGATTCTTTTTAGAGGCATATTTTGATATTTTCCTTACACTGTTCTTGCTCTAGAGTTGACTATTTCGGGATAAATGAAGTGAGAACTGGTGCTGATGCTTGAATGCAATATGCCTGTTTGGGGGGCTGACAGATGTGGGTGATTTCAAACCAAATGCTGTCTGTGATTTAGCTCTAGGTGCCATTGGGTCCAGACCTGCTGTGGTTGCCCTCTGAGTGAAAATGTGTGCATTTTCTGGGTCTAGCCGTGTGTTTTGGCGTGCCATTCACCATGGAAACTGCACAGCTCTGAGTTTGAATTCTGTGACACGGTATCGCTGCAAGCCTTGCTTTACAAAGGTCTGAGTTGCTGCACTTCAGAAGCAGGGAGGACTCTGATATTGTCTCTCCCTTTAACTTGAATCCCCACACAATGGGATTAAATCCAGTGCTTGTCTGCACTTGTGTCTTTATTCTAATTTTATATGTAACAGCTTTGTGAAACGCAAATAACTTGTTACATAATATGCAGTGCTGAACAGTGTGATTTATCTTGAAATATGCTTTTTAAAATAGACTATTCCACTCTATAAACAGAGCACATTTGTGTGTAATCTTGCTGCACTTTTCACTGTGCTGCAGGTTATTTTCAACTGCACTGTATTGTTGTAAAAGTTTTCATCTTTCACTGCTATGGAGAATCCTATGGACCTGATTAAGTGGGTTTTTCCTTTCTATTCATGGCATTCAGTTTTAAGTGATATGCTCTGTTGAAACCCCAGAGGTTATAAGAGTGTCCTTGTACTCATTTATTATTCCTCATTTGGGCTCTGGAGCAATTTAATTTCTGAGACTTAACAGGTCTGATCCTGAACTTTCTTTGATTAAAGCCCGTGAAATGTGAAGGCTGCTTCTGATTTGTCCTCAATTCTGTTGTGATTATCTGTAATCCTGCAGTTCTGGCGCTCTTCTGCTTGAAGAGTGCTTTGTATACGTGTAGTGATGTTTAACAAGCTAATACAATGACCAAGTGAATAATTTCTCCTCATGGAATGCCTTTTTTGTGCTCTTTTTACCCAAAAGGAAGCCAAATGTAGGAGTTTGGGTATTGGGGCCCAGACAGGAATTTCTGTTCTCTGTGCATAGTTGTGGGGGTGGACAAGGGGGAGTTCTGGGCAGTGAGGACAGCAGAGGGATCCAGAGAAGTTCAGTCAGAACTGCTCCTGCATGACCTCAGACCTAAACCCAGATGTTTTTATGACCCTCACTCATCCTCCTGCCTGCGAAACATCTGGATTTCTAAAGGGTGCATTTAGGGCACCTGTGGAAATTAAGGGTGTGTGTTTAGGTGGAGTATTTTCTGAGCTGTTTGCTGTTTGCTGCCTGGCTGTAAGCTGGTACACAAGCTGTGCAAAATGAGGTTGTAAATAACCATCCCTGTGAAATGGCAGCTAAGGTGGCTCTCCCCTCCCCACCAGCTAATTCTGTTAGTGCTGCATTCTGACAGTGGCAAAAACCTCCCTGAAAGTTCTGTGGAACTTACCAGGGCAATGACTTTCATGCAAGAAATGCCAGATTTTGGGTGAAGAGCATTTTCTTGTAAAAACAAAAGGTAGCTGCCATGCATTTATGGGTGAGCCTTCTTGAGAGAGGGGGAAATACATTTTGGGAGTGCAACGGATGAGAAGGGTCCCTGTTCTTCTGGGAAGGTGGGGAATTAGCCGTACTCAGTGCAGAATCTGTATTTTTGGGAGGAGGTGGTGGTGGTTCCAGGCTCGGGCCCCCACGCTGGCTTGTGAGGGAAGGTTTAGGTTAAAAAATGTGAGAGAGAACTGCAGACACCTCACTGTAGTTCTGTTATTGTACTTGGCTGCAGGAGCTCTTCAGGGAATTGTGTTTTGTTGTCTTGGATGTGGGAGTTTAAGAAAAGTAACTTATCAATAAGTACATGAAAGCTATTATCTTGATACACAGGGGAATATTTTCAGGGTAGCTTTAACTTCAATCCATGTTTCAAGACTGAAACTTAAAACACATCTTCTTTGGGCTGGCAGCACACTGGCTGGGGTATAGAAAGTCTTCTGGTAGTTTTCAGTTGCTGGGTGGGATGTCTTTTGTGTTTTACATTTCTTGTTTGGTCATTTTTTGTTTACTTTCTAAACTTTATCTTTTTCATTTAAGAGTTTCTGACCCTTTTTTTTCCTTCTTCTAATTTGCAGCATTACTTTACTGTTCTCTTTGGCCATGAGGGGCAGAAGCCACTGGAGCTGCGTTGTGAGGATGAGGTTGATGGAGATGAGTGGGTAGAAGCTATTCACCAAGCAAGGTATGAAACTTGATTTGTGACCCTCTGATCCACTTTATTACACATAAATGGATAATACTTTGAGAACCTAAACCCACCTTCCAAACAGAACTAAATGTTTGCATGTATTAGTTGGGTATTGTTTGCAATTCATGAATACCTTATAGGAGAAAATCACCTTTAACATTCAATGCTTATTTCACTGTCTTTTATCTTTCATAAGCAATTGTGCTGCAGTTGAAATTAGTTCAGGGAGAACATTATTTTTTTAGAAAGAAGCTCTAGGATTAGTCTTCTGTTAGCGACAAATGTGTCATATGAATGAGGAAATTAATGATGTGACAGATTAATAAATACGTTTTTTTCTTTAAAAACTCTTAAAGAGAAATAAATGTAAGAAAGATGAGTTCAAGCCATTAAGATGATGTAGTGTGACAAATACAATTTTGAATTAGAAGCTGAAATTTGAGCCACCTGAACCACTGTTTTATGACAAGGGATGTGGTAGGACCTTGAGCCATCAGTTGTCTGTGCCTGAGGAGAGGCCTGTGTGGCAAGTGGCCACGGTTTAGGTGCAGTCTAAATTAAAGTCATCTCACTGGAGGCCTGATGAATGCAGGTCTTAGGAGAAACGATGCTCACTCTTCAGAATTTTTAAATGTTTAATTAAGGGGTAAAAGGGACAAAATCCAGTGCTGGGGTGTTTTGTCATTTGCCAAAAGCACACCATTAACTTAAACCATGTTCTCTAGATACTGTCATATTACAGGGGGTACATGCACATTCGTAACAGTTTGAGTTGAATATGTATATATTCAAACATTCCTTTGGGTTTAGGTGTTCTTTTGCCTGGTTTTAACCTTTGACTTGTCTTCATGCCATCTTGTAAATTCAACCAATATATTTTACTTCTTCTTGTGGTTCCATCCTGTTGTTTTTACACTCCCTGGTAACAAGGAGTCAGTAAATTGGGTTCTGGTCATTGTCACTCTTATTTTACCGCTCAGATAGTCTAGAAATGCAAGGAGCCACATAATTATCTTACAACATTCTTTGAGTTAGTTACATAAGATCATTTTAACATCAGATAGTCTCTATTTTAATATTATGCTATGGCCTGAGATATAATATATTTATCAAATTACTATTTTCTATTTATATAAGCTATACAGTGCAGATATAAACTGATAGATTATAGAAAAAAAAGCAGCTAAGAGGAATTACAAATTGTACTATATCAGGATCTTTGTGATCAATAACAGCTTGCAAAGCAAAAGCTAATACATAAATGTGAAAGCCAATAACTGTATTTGTCACTTATAACAGGAGGCAAAGCTGCTGCTGAAATGCACTTTCTGCAGCCTCCTCCCATCCACACCTCAGCTAATCTGCAGTGCCATGGTAACGCACAAGGAGCCAGGCAGCTCCCGAATTGCTTAGGACATGAGCCATGTAAACAGAAGTGATTCTGCTCCAGAACTAAAATTGAACATGAGCAGCTCGTGGTTTTTAATTTAGAGCTTGGGGCTGCAGGCCTTGTGCTGCCTGGCAGCCAGCTCTGGGATCTGTGTCCTCCCCCTGGAGCTGGGGTGCCTGGAGAGGCTCCTGGAGCAGAGGCTAGGCAGTGTTGAAGGAATAAAGTGGATATTTAATAAAAGATCTCAAAAGATGCACCTTGGGCAGCACAAAAGCCTGACCAAGGCTCCACCCAAGATGGACTCCGAGTCACGAGTTTTAGCACTTTTAAAAGTCTTGGTTCATTTCTATATTGGGGTTAATTGTCCAGTTCCAGCTCCAGGTGATGCAGTCCCACCCTCTCAGGTTGCTCTCCTCCATTCCCTGCTGTTTGCACTTCTTGGGCCTTTTGGACCTTTTTGTTGTTTGCACCTTTTGGGCCTGAAGCTGCAGTGGTGTCCTTGGCTCTGGGGATGGAAAAGGATTGTTCTGTGTGCCTGAGCTGTGAGGAGAACCTGCTGACACTTTATATGGAGTTCAGAGTCACCCAGCAATGCAGTACACAGCCTGGAAAATATGAAAAATATGAAAAATATGCCTTGGGGGTCCCTGGGGCTCAGGGCTGGGCCGGTGTCCCCTGTGTGACAGCCACAGTCCCGTGCTGCTGCAGGGCTTGTCCTGGTGTGGGACAACTTCTGCTGTGCAGTGCTTGATGCCTTGGAGTGGCTGGATAAGATTAAGAGACTAAAGTGGGTATTTATTAAAGCCCTTCAAAAGGTTCATTTTGGAGACTCAGAAGCCTCCCAGAGGCTGCACCCAAGATGGACAATGGTCACAAGTTTTTCACAGAATTATAAGTTTGGTCCATTTGCATTTCAGGGGTTAATCATCCAATTCCAGCTTCAGGTAATGAAGTAATTTACCCCAGTTTGCTCCCCCCCAATTCACTTTTGTTTATAGTTTTGGGGCTCTAGGGTGTCCTTGAGTTTCTGGCCCAGAGGGATTGTTTTGACCAAAATTTGAAGACGGTAACTAGCACTCTATTTGGAGTTTAGAGTTATCCACTAATGCAGTACAGGATTTGAAAACTGTAAAAGCTAAACCAAGGCATCCTACTGACAGTGAGTGAGGCAGGGAGCAGGCCTTTTTGCCTCATGCTCTGGTGCTCAGGGACAGCAGCATCCTGGGTTTCCCTCTCTGCAGCACCAGTTTGGTTTTGCCACGACCTTTCAGCCTTTCCCTGTAGGAGGGGACAGCCAGGGGAGTCCAGGAACAGGGACAGGAGCAGAGGGAACGGCCTCAGGGCAGGCTCAGGGTGGAACCAGCAGGAATTTCCCCATGGAAAGGCAGCTCAGGCCTGGAAGTGCCCAGGGAGGGTTGGAGAGCCCATCCCTGGAGGTGTCCAGGAATTCCACTCGGAGCTCTGGGCTGGGGACAAGGTGGGGATTGGGCACAGCTGGGACTCCGTGTCTGAGAGGGATTTCCCAACCTCACTGATGCTGGGATTCTTGTTCATTGCCTGGTGTAAAAGGTGTGTAAGCAAGAAGAGCTCCATAACATGAAGTAAAATTTTTGCCCTTGTAGTTGAGTCTGTAAATGTGTCACACATGAATTTTCAAGGCAGAAACTGACATGAAATGAAGGCAACGGTAAACAATGCACAGCTGAAAATAATGAGAACTTGCAGGGAAGTTGGTTGTTACATTCAGGGTCAGGACATTTGACTCCACCAAGAAGCTGTAATTTAAAGTGATTTTATTTTGTAATAAAAAGCTGTAAAGCCACCATGCTTTACAGGACAGCTGGGTCTCTGAAGTAACTAAGATCAGTGTTTTTACCTTCAACCCTTTTGCTAGTTGCCTATTTCTATCTTTTTTGGACCTACCTCCTGATGATATTGAACTATGGATATCTCTGTGAGGGACAGTCTCATGGTCCTGTGCATTTAGAGGATTTTCTTAATCTACTTTTCTGCACAGGTATCTAATTTTCATGGGGAAGTTTCCCAGGGATACAGACATGCCTTTCTTGTGTTCTCTTGGACAAAATTCCAACAAGAGACAACAACAACAGCAACAACCAAAAAAAAAAAAAAAAAAAAAAGTACAATTTGGTTGGTAAGCATGGAGTGATGGAGTGTCATTCCCAGTTGTGGGTTACTTCCTTGCTCTGATGATTTTCTGCTTCACTGCTTTTGTTTGCTTTGCATTGTGCAGCCTGGAGTTTCTAATTAGTTGCTAAACCGTTGGGTTTTGCTGAAGATACATAAAAAGAGGCTAAAGTAATACTTTTTGAGTATTGTGTAAAACTTTTCTTGCCAGCTTAATTGAACAAAAGAGCACAGATTGTCTTTAGGGATTGAATTTTGCCTTCATCATGATCTAGATATTTTCCCTTGAATTTATCTGTATTTTTGACAAATGGGAGAAGTTTTGGCAACTTCTGAAATGCCACTGTTGATTTGAGCATAACCTAAGGTGTTTTTTTTTTTAAATAGATTAATGGCACTTTATGTAGCACTTTAAAGATGCTTTTTTGTACTATCTCAGGTGTCTTAGTTACAAATTGTAGGAGGCATTGAGAATACTACCACTACTCTTACATTGAAAAGAGACTTGGGAACATCTTGTTCCATGTGAATATGCTGGCATTTGAGAAAAGGAAGTATTTAATTGCTTTCCAGAGGGTCATATCCTCATGAGGAGCTGTGGTAATCCCTGTGTTAGCTGAGACAATGCAATTGAGGTAGTTGATGCTTTTTGTTTTCTTAGACTGACATATAGAAAACCTAATTTTGGAATGCTTTTCATTAATCCCCCCCCTGCCCCAGCACATATTTGTAGCTATCAGAATTTCTTCCATGTCTAATTTATTTTGTCAATTATAAAGAGAGTGTTGATAAAGGGATGCTCCAATCTCAGTGCACCCCATGGTCCACTCTAAATAAGAATTTTATTTGGATGCCAGTACCTAATTAAAAGATCTTTTCTGCTGTGATGTTGTCCATTGCTCCTGTCCATAGAGCCCTCTCCTCACATGGGGATTTTTTGGCTTTTGAGCAGGAAGTGGGATATTTAATCCAGTATATCTTAGTGGAACTTCATTACCAGTTCCACACCTGTACTTACTTTTCTTCTCCTTCCATTTTATTTGAATTTTCACTATTTTGGTTTCTCAGTAATATCCAGGGTAACAGAGCATCGTTTGCTCCTTCTGAGCTACATTTTTGGGCAGAAGGATTTATTCCTGGCAAGTCCTAATTCCTCTGTCAGTGGCTGCTTTGGGAAGTCCTGGTTTTGGCTTTCTTCCAGAACTTGTTCTCTTATGAAAAAATCTGTCTTACCCTCCATACACTGAGGTGTACTTATCACTCGCTCTTACAAAATCTTCTATATTTTAAGGCTTTTTTGCATTTAGCTCAAAAAAATATTATGCTTTTTCTTATATGAATGCAGTATTAATAAAATTTATTGGACTTCTCTACTTTAGCTTATTCCAAAGTCTTAAATTTACGTGTGGGAATAAAAATCCTTTTTTCATGCAGGCACAAGTATGAGCTTAATTGG